GCCGGGCCGCCCCCTCCTGGCCGTCGTGGTGTTGTGGTTGCCGGCGTGGCCGTCCGTTCCGCCCCGGCGCTGCCGGGGGCCGGGGTGGCGCTGCCGGGGGTGATGGGTCTGACCCGGGCGGGCTGGGCCTCTGTGTCCCCCTCGCCTCTCTGAGGAGGTTGCGGGTGCTGCTGTCCCCGCTTGTCAGCCCTGGGAACTTGTAATATGTCCGCAAGTTTCATTCACGTTTGGTGGAAAAGTAACGATCCAAAGAGATGCACGTCCTACGAGCTGAAGGGAGGTGCACCCCCAGATAGGGGCGAGAAAGAGATGAATGTGGTTTTTTTGAGGAGGTCAGGCCTTTCATCCTCATCAGGAACGCTGTCTGAGGATGTGGATCTGCAGGAGAGCAGCTCTGTCTTCAGGGTACCTTGGGTCTGTTTTGTGTGAAAGCCAGGGAGGATGTGGGGAGACAGCAGTGAGTGAAGGCTGATCTTCCTGTTCATGTGTCTATAAGAATACCCAGGAGCCAGGGATCAGAGGGTATTTAGCACTGGAAGGTGATGGACTTGCTGCTGATGTTCTGTGGTTGCCTGCTTGGATGAATAATTGTATTTTTTTGGGTTTGGTTTTTTTTTTTTCATTCATGTAACTGGTGCCTCACGTGGCTGTTCTAATCTACCCTTCTGTTCCATCACTCCCTGTGCTGATGCTGACTTCTTCCTGCTCTTTCATGAGTTGGTAACACCTTTTCCCAGCTTCTTTTGTGCTTATTTGGAGCCTGGTTCAAGATTCTTCCAGTCTGAGAAACTGTCACTGGATTTCTGTGTTCTTTATTCAGTCACTGCCTGTCTGCTCTCTTGCTGTAACAGCAAGTACGAAGAGCTAGCGAAGAGGTTTAGTTGTGGAGACATCTGGTTGCAGGGAGAAACCCTTAACAAACGTTGTTCTGTCATCCTGCTGATGCTGCTTCTGAATTGAGGTCAGCTGTGGACTATGCAGTTCCCAAACAACATGAACCTTCCCCAGAGTCGAGTTTGCCCTGCTGACATCCAGGCTGTACTGGTCTTGTGAGCTATGGTGGCCAGAGCGTGCAGCTTTGCACTCTGCGCTCAAGTTTGCGGTGACTTTAACGTTGATGGTGTCTGCACTACTGTGCAGTTGTTGGCAAGAGAGTGTCTGGAAGGATGCGGTCTCCTCTGTTTTCGTCAGCATGGCATTGTAGTTCCCTGGATTCTCTCCATGTTCCTCAAACTTTTTTTCTATGTAGCTGCAGCTCTGTTGCTGTTAGTTCTTGGGAAGCAGAATGCAGCCTGTGAAGTACCTGTAAAATGACCTGTTGTGGGGGTAATAGCTTCCCTGCTAGGGATTCAGACTCCTGCCTTTGGGGTTGTTACATGGACTCATTGCTCACCCCAAGGCCTCTCCCCGGTCTGGGAGCGCTCCCCGGCAATGAAGGCAGGTTTATTGTGAGGTGCCATGTAAAATGTCTGTTTTAAAGCAGACTGGCTCTTTTTTCAGTTGGTGTCTACTTTCTGCCACAAGACTTCGTCTTTGGAGCGGACGGAGGAGGAAGGTGACGATGATGAGGAAGATGATGAATTGGACATCTTTGGGGGTTATGACAGCTTCCGAGGCTACAACAGCAGCATGGGCAGCGACAGCAGCTCCTGTCTGGATGAGTCTAGCGACGATGAGGTGGCAGACCGGGAAGCTGGAGAGCTTCCGACCTCTCCTGTGCACCAGCCATCCATAGGCCGGCTCACAGAGGACAGCGGCTCTGAGCCAGGTACTGCCCTGCCTGCCTGTTCTACCCAAAGCACGTGTGGGATGGAAAGAACGCGTGCTGGGGGAAGCCAAAGGGTGTGTGACTGCATCTTGAGTATTCTTTGGGAGCAGCACTGGATTGAGACTGCATTTTCTGGGCTACGTGGGGGAGCTGCTATGTGTAATGAGGGTTACCTGGGCTCAGCTCTGTCCTTGTAGTGTATCGACCCTGCCAACTGTTCACATTTTTGTGCCTTCTTTCTCTCAGCTGTGTGCGAGATGTGTGGGATTGTGGGCACCAGGGAGGCTTTCTTCTCCAAGACCAAACGTTTCTGCAGCGTCTCCTGCTCCAGAAGCTACTCCTCAAACTCCAAGAAGGCCAGCATCCTGGCCAGACTGCAGGTGAGTCAAACCCCTTCCTTCTTCCTTGGGGATGGAGCAGGATGTGCCTGTACACAGGGGTGGGTGGTTGCTCTCTAGTTAAAGCTCAGACTGCCATTACCAGTGGCTTGTTCTTGCTGCCTGAAGTCCCCAGAGAAGGCATGCCAGCTGAAAGGTGGTGCTCCCTAGAAGCTGAGGAAGGACACATTGATATTTTACCTGCCATTTCTTCTTGTTCCTCTGAGCACCAGTAAAAACTGTAGTAACCTGAAAATCGCCTTAAGGAAGAGATGCATGCCCTGCTGGCCAGTTGCAGGGACTGGCTTCCTCTCCTGTGCCATTGGGGTTCCTAGTGTTCCTTCTTTTATAGGGGAAGCCACCAACGAAGAAAGCTAAAGTCCTGCACAAGGCAGCCTGGTCAGCCAAGATCGGGGCCTTCCTCCATTCACAGGGCACGGGGCAGCTGGCAGATGGGACACTGACAGGCCAGGATGGTGAGTGTAGGAGGCGTGAGGAGATGCAGCTACTGGAGCCATAGAAATGGGAACACCTGGAGGGCTGTAAGCTCTACAGTCTGTTCTTCTTCCCCTCTGGTACACTGCCTTGTACTGAAATGGTGTGTGTGGATCGCTCCGACGCGGGCTGGCAGGACACAGGGCACGTCTCTCTCCCTGCTGGTCCTAACAGAGCCCTGGTGGGTTCCCGCCCATCCACTATTGCAGCCTCATCCTCGCTCCTGGTGCAGCTTGGCCTGGAGCGTAAGCTCTGTAGTCACAGACCCATGAGGTGCTGACTTCTGCTGGCAAAGTTGACTTAAAGGTGTCCTGCTGCTCCCAGCCGTTTGCTGCCCAATTGCCTGTGGAGTTGTATTTAACTTGAGTCACTCACTGATCAACTTGAGGAACAACCAGTCACTGCAGCTGAAGGAGTAGCAAGCTGCTATCTTAGGGCAAAGGTGAGCCCCGGGGCGTGGCGGCCGGAATTGATCCCTGAGCGGACCGCTGCTGGAGCAGGGCTGTAGCCTTGGATCAGGAGTGACTGTGGGATTAATATCCCAGTGCTTCGCTCTGATTTTCCTAGCACCCTCTGGGGAGGCAAGTGCTGCTGATATGACCCTGAAGTGTTGCTGCTGAGAGGCAAAGCTGCTAAGTGGTTTAGCACTGACAGGATGCAGTCTCCACTCTCCCCAGAGTGCTTGAGCCCTGGGCTGGATTTGACCCCTTTTTTTGCCCCTCGTGAATCCTCTTCCCCAAAAGCAAGCGACAGCAAGGATAGATTCATAATATATTGTACCTCTCGCGAGTGCTGGTCCCTGTGCACTCACAGGATCTAGTTCCCCCCCCCAGGGAAAATGCACTGGAACGCAGAGTCCCTGTGTGCCGGGGCAGAGGGATCTGTCCGAGAGCAGGCCACAACGTGGCTGCAAGCTGTAGTCCAGAGGTAACTGAGCACTCTGTGCCTTTTCTATAATCTCACCTGATTTTCTTCTTTCATGTCTGCTTATAGCACTCGTCCTGGGCTTTGACTGGGGAAAGTACCTGCAGGAGCACGGCTTCAAGGCAGCTCCTGTCAGCTGTTTCAAACACGTGAGTTCTCCTTTGCTGTGCCTCGCAGTGCGCATGGGACATGTCATATGCATGGGGCTCTCCTGTACTCCTGTGGCAAGTGGTGGGGAGAGACCTGGGAAGCTGGTTATTAAGCCCCAGCTGATACAAGGAAAGAAGTTGGTGTTTCTCACAGTTAAGAATGGGAGTCCCACAGAGGGAACAGGAGTTTTGGGGGAGGAAGAAGAGGAGGACTTGGTAGAAGCACTGCTGGTTGCGATGGCCCAGTACTGGCTGGGGACAGAATTAGTTCTGACCAGGGGGGAGAGCAGAACACTCCTGGTTGCCTTTGCAGTTTGTGTGGGTGAGCACAGCCCAGGGTGGTGTGAAGGGAGGAACTCGGCTTATGTGGGCCTGGCAGTAGCTGCCCCTCCAGCATGTCTGGTTCCCATCATACCAATTTGCAATCCTTGTGGGCCAAGTAGCCGAGGCAGATACATGGAAGAATGGCAGTTCTTAGGTATTATAGCAGCCCCAGCCTCTCTGTGTATTAAGACTCACTTGTTATGTTCCTTTTGAGTTGTGATCTGTGATAATATGAACAGAATTTTATTTTTCTTGAGGATAGGTCAGGAAGACATGGCAGTTTGATGGTTAGGGATTTTAATACCATAGAGGAATGGCAGCAGCTACTTTGGGAAACAGGATAGCTGGCAGTGAAATAGTTAAGTGTTGCTATACAATGTTCTGCCTTTTGGAATCCTCTGTGAACACCCCAATGAGATGTTGGGACAGTTCGGTTGCATTTCAAGCTGTTGGCACATATAGGAAGGATAAGGCATGCAAACCTGGGCCTAAGGTGTAGCTGCCTAAAACATATCTCTGAAAGCTAGAACGAGGGCCTGAGCCCTGCTCTAACTGTCAACGTCCCTCTCCCAACGTGGCTGCCTCAATCTTTCAGGTGCCGCTCTTCGATCAGTGGGATGATGTGGTGAAAGGTATGAAAGTGGAAGTCCTGAACAGTGATGCCGTGCTCCCCAGCCGCGTGTACTGGATTGCATCCGTCATCCAGACTGTAGGTGTGTCTCCAGTGTAATTCCTGACAGCTGGGGATGGCTAACCTCTGAGGGAAGCTTTAGAGAGCTGAGTGTAGCTAGTCAAGCAAAACATCAGCTCGTTGGAGCTCTGCAACTGCTGAGAGATTTTGGAACAGGAAACACCGTGGTGCGGGGGTGGGAGGAAACCAGCATCTGGTTCCTCTTCTGGTTGCTGGACTCTTTGTGGGGATGGTTCTGCCTCCAGAATGGCTGGAGAAGCTCTGATAACCTATGCAGAGCTCTGAAGACCATGCTGTAGGAACTAAGCCTGTGGTGCCCAACACAGAGAGGAGAAATTCTTGGCCTCTAATGCTTTTCTCTGGTTGTTCTGTCCTGGCAGGGTACAGGGCCCTTCTGCGATATGAGGGCTTTGAGAATGATGCTGGCCATGACTTCTGGTGCAATTTGGGCACAGTGGATATTCATCCCATTGGCTGGTGTGCCATCAACAGCAAAATCCTGGTACCACCACAAAGTGAGTGTGGGGTGAGAGGAGTCAGCGTGTGCCTGGGCATGGAGGAGCCTTGGTTTATGCCTAGCCCAGTGGGACGGCTGCTCCCACTGTACGTGGGACCACAGCTCCATTTGTGCTCTGAGTTACAAAGACCGGTTAGTTGTTTGGGAAGCTGGAGGCTGCTTGGACTGTTCCCTCTGCATCTCCCTGTGGTTGACCCTGGGGGTGCTGGATGCAGACCTGGTGTCAGACCTATGGACAGAAACTAATACTGTTCCTCCTTCTGACCTGCACAGTGGCTAGGCTTAACCTTTGGGGGAACTTTTTGGCCCTACATCCTGAACACTGTCTCTGGGGACCGCACTGGATCCAGTCGCTGCTCAGCTAGCAGTTAGGAGAGGGACGACAGCGTAGCAGAATTCTGGCAAGCTGAGGTTTGCCTGGCACGGCTTGCATGTTTTTGCTCTAATACCACTTCTGCATCCAGATCAGTGGAGTTGGGTGTCTGCTTGGCCCAGTCTGTTCTGTAATGGTGATCCCTTGCAGCCTGTTGTGGGGGCGAGCTTGCAGAACAGGGTCTGCGTGAGAGCAGGTACAGGATCTGAATGTGAAGAAGGCCTTTTAATGCAGTGGACTCTTGAAGAGGAAGAAAGGTGTAGTGTGGTGCTGTAATTCTTTCAGTCATAAAGATGTGCTTTTTCCCCTGTGTGTATGTAGCTATCCATGCCAAGTACACTGACTGGAGAAGTTATCTCATGAAAAAACTGGTGGGAGCCAGGACCATCCCAGTGGATTTCCACATCAAGGTAAATGTGGGAGGCTAGCGTTTTATGTGTGGAAATGAAGCCGAAGCCAAGAGATGTGTGCGCAACACATCTCTTCTAGTTCTGATCTGTGCAAGTCCTCCATGTGTCCCCTCGAAACCTGGGCAGGACAGGGGCGGTGAGACACCTATCATGATGCTGTAGGTAATGGCACAGCCCCTATGCCCTGTCAGCACAACCGTTTCTCTTTTGGGTCATTGATGGGCTTTAAAAGCTGTTGTCATGTCAGCCTCTGCTGGAAAATACTGGGGATGAGTTTGCTTTTTTGCTGAAGGGAGAGGCCAGTGCAGCTCCAACCTGGCCTTTCCCTGCCCTGTTTCGGTGCTGGGGAATGGCTCTGAGAGTCGAAAACCTTTGCCTTCTGTGTGGGTAGCACAGCAGCCTGTGGGGAGTGAGAGGGGCGCAGGCTCCCTCGAAGTGCATGGAAGCAGCTGTGCCGCAGCCTTGCCAGCTTTGTAGCTCTTGTGGTGGTTTTGTGTAGCCTGCGCTGAGGTTAGACCTTGTCAGGGAGAAGAGACTCTTTTGTCACTGGCAACTTTGTAAACCACAGATAAGGAAGACGATCCCAGATACAGCAGGCAGGAAGGCAGGTGATGGATTTTCCTGTGTGTGAGGTAACTGTGTGTGGAGACCTTGACATAGTTGATGTTTCCCTTGTTGCTTCTCAGAAAGTTGAGAGGATGTTCGTAGCTGCTTGTTCCTGGGCCACAGCTTGTAGCTGAGCGCTCACACCATGAAAGGGAAGCGGTAGAGGGAGGCAGATATTCTCAGTATCTTTCTCCCCCCAGCATCTCCATTCCCACCTAATGAACAGGAGGTGGAAGGGGAAGATCAGCCCTTAAAAGTTCTTCTGGATTCAGGTGTAGGCTAGCTTGGATGTCTGAGTCTGTTTTGAGCTGTGGCTCTTAGTTGCTGCACAGCATTCTGGGATCTTTAGTGCCAAAATGTCAGGTATTCTATAAACACCTTTGAGTATTTGTGGATGAGTAGGGCTAGGCTGTATCAGCAAACTGAAGGTCTCAAAAAAAAAAAAAAATCAGAAGGCAGCCAGTGGCTTTTTTCATGTGCCTGTGCCTTTGGGTTAGTCTGCAGAGTAACTGTGGCATTGGAGGTGGAGTTGGCAGATAGATCATCATGTTGCTCAACCTCTGATCAGAATAAAAAGGACCTGACCTATTTTAAAGGCAACTGAAAATCCTGTTGCCCTTTGGGAAGCTACACCTCTAGCTGCTTCCAGCCTTGAAACACTTATGGCCTCTTTCATGACTGAAAAAGGCACGCAATTCCTCACTCAGTTCCTCCTGAACATAAATGACATCTGTTTCTTGCACTCAGAACATTCACACAAGGTGCTGGCTGAGCGCGGCTGCTGGGCAAGGGTGGGGGTAACTGTTAGGGGGCCACAGGACAGGAGAGACTTAGAGTGTGTGTGCCCAACTGTGCTGCCATGCTGGCAGCTCCCTGTATCCCTGATGAACCCACTCCCATGCAACCCTTCCCAGAGGTGTCTCCAAGTCGCCTTTGGGCAGTGTAGGGGGTTGGCCAGCATGTCTGTGGGAAAAGCTGTTCTCTGAGTGTTTGGATAAGGACAACACCAAGTGCAATTGATCTCGCCTCCTCTGTTGGTTGTTGCCAGATGGCGGAGAGCATGAAGTACCCGTTCCGGCAGGGCATGCGGGTGGAGGTGGTGGATAAGAACCATGTGTCCCGGACGCGCATGGCAGTGGTGGACACAGTGATCGGGGGCAGACTGAGGCTCCTCTATGAGGATGGCGACAGCGATGATGACTTCTGGTGCCACATGTGGAGTCCCCTCATCCATCCTGTGGGCTGGTCACGGAGAGTGGGCCACAGCATGAAGAAGACAGGTAGGGATCAGGCCACCACAACATCTTCTGATTTGCTATGAGATGCCTGGGCCCTGCTGTTGACACCACTCTTGACATGCTGGGAGCCGGGCAGCTGCCTCAGGACCTGAAAGGTAAGGTCTCCGTAGTTGTGTCTGCTGCTTTTCCCCCTGGATAGACAAAAGCCCGGCGATCTCCTGCCACAGGTCGGGAGAGGGGGACTGTAGGGTTTCTTACCTGAAGCAGGTAGTCTGTCCCCACAGTGTGAGAATGCAGAGGCTGCAACATCACAGGTGTTTCTAGTCTTTTTTGAGGAAATTCATGCTGGCTTCTGAGACTGGATGCCATCAGGTTGGTTTTTTTCTGGACTTTACAGAGAGGAATTCTTGATCAGCTGAGACTGGTGGAAAAAAACAAGACTCGAGCCCTGCTGATCCTTTTAATTGTGTCTCCTTTCCTTGCCGCTTCTCCCTGGTGATTACAGCTGCATGTAGACTTGTCATCACTAGTGCTCAGAAAGATCATCTGCCTGCTTTTGAGCAAGCCCTGCATCACAGCCCATGTTATGGGAAGGTGTAGAGGGACTGACCCGTTTTTTTTATTACTTTTCTCATGGTCTCTGATTTAGCTCTTTTATAGCTGCTGAGCTCTCACCAGATAATTAATAGCCAGTGCATTTTCTTACTGCAGTTGCTGCAGGTTTCTTACCTCTCTTTGTTATTTCCATTCCTCACAGAAGAAAAACGCAGTGACATGGCAAACCATCCCACCTTCCGGAAGATTTACTGTGATGCTGTCCCCTATCTGTTTAAGAAGGTGAGACAAGTCTGCCTTTCTGCGTTGGCCGCAGCAAAGGAAGCAGTGATACCACTTCCTTCCTTGGGTATATATGCTGCTGTGTGGGTTGTTGAGGATGGCTCGTTTGTTTCTCTTAGAGCTACAGGGCAGTAAGGTGTTTGGGGTGTCAAGGCTGTGGTTGGGCAGGAGCAGGTCAAAACAGAAAGATGGAAGAACTGAAAGACAATGACAGATTGAGGTACTCAATTGACAGGCGAGCAATTGCTTGGAACTTTGAGTTGGAGAGGGAGGATGATTGTATGGGAGAGACCAGTTCAAACAAGGGGTTGGATCATACTGATGAGGACTGAGATGAGAAGGAAGCTTGCTTTGCTGTGGAGCAGTGGCTGACTGCTGGGCCTGGCTCTCTGACTGACCAGAGCCTTGGCAGGAGATTGCTGGCACAAACACAGCATTGGTTTGGCTGCCTCTTTGTATTTTCTGTAATTTTTCTTCTTTCCCCTCCCAACTCGGCTTGAGCCAAGTAAAGAAGCTCCAGTCCTGTTCGCACGTGGTGTGGCTGGTGTCGGGATGGGACTGTCCCATACCCCTGACAGCACATGGTATACCAGAGTCTCCCTTAGGTACGAGCTGTCTACACTGAAGGTGGATGGTTTGAGGAAGGCATGAAACTGGAGGCCATTGACCCCCTGAATCTGGGCAACATTTGTGTGGCCACTGTTTGCAAGGTAAGTTCAGTGGGCAGAAGGGGGTCTGCTGTGTTTACCTGAGATAACCCAGCCTCTCCTCAGGCCTTTGCAAATTAATAAGACCAGGTAGGATTTTGTATGAGGGAGAGGAAACGCCTGTCAAGAGAGGTAGGCAGCTGGTGTGTGGAGGGAATTGGGGCATTACCTCAGAGGTCTGAGAAGGTGATGACACCAGCAGTTGTCCACGTGTGCCTAAGTGGACAGCATGAAGATGGGCGTGCTTGGTCTGCAATCTAACTGTCCAGTGTGTGTGACTGGCAGCCACCCTTCTTTCACCCTTGGGCATGCAGTAGGGAAGATGTGTTCTTCAGTTCTTGGAGTGCATAAAGAGAGGCCTCTGTAGTGCTGCCTTGAGGAGAGAAAGGAGAGGGGAAGAGTTGTGGGGTGACCTCTTGTGTGGGGAATGGGGTGTATCTGTATGGGCACCATTCACTGGTGTAGGAAGCTGAGGATGGATGTGTCTTCTGCAGTCTTTCTTGATGAGGTGGTAGTGAGCTCTACTCCTGTGCTAGTGTTGGGAAGTTACTTGCTTGGTCGGGTCTCCTCAGCGAGATGTGCTGCATGTCCTAAAGCATAGCATCGACTTGGGCTTTTCTTTCTTCCTCAAGAAGCTGTTTGCCCTTGTAGAACCCAAGCAGAGGACTTTGACACTTGGGGTTTGGCCAGGGGGTGCTAGGAAAGCTCTTTGTGTCTGTAAAATGTTCCCTTTGGCCATTGCCTGGAAACGTGAAGAGGTTGGGGCAGACGTGCCTATCGCATTTGGCAGGCACCAGTTACCAGTGAGTGACAGGATGGGACAAGTCTTGTTGCTGTTCAGGAAGTGGCAAGTCTGAAGGTGGTGCCTTTCCCTTCTGCCCAGTAACAAATTCATGACCTGGCTGGTGTAGAGGGTCTCTGGGCTGCCAGTAAAGTCTGTTTCTGAGGGAGAACCGAGCTCCTGACCGTTTATGGCTGAGTCCTTTTCACAAGGCTATTAGCATTGGTCGCAGTTCTGCAGAAATTGCTGCTTTGGAGATTAGCTTGTGTTGACTAATGTATCAGGAGAAGTTAGTGCATGCCCTAGAGTGTATAACATTGCATTTTACTGTCTAGTGGCAACTGTGAGCCATCTGTGGGGATTCTTGGGAGGATCCTTTGAGAGGAGAAGCTTTAGAGCAAGCGAAGCTCTACGCTCATGCCCTTCGTTCCTGTCTCAGGTCCTCTTGGACGGGTATCTCATGATCAGCATTGATGGAGCCACGTCTGCTGGTGGCTCTGACTGGTTCTGCTATCATGCCTCCTCACACGCCATCTTCCCTGTCAACTTCTGTCAGAAGAACAACATCGATCTGACCCCTCCAAAAGGTGAGATTTGGACTCTGCCCTGTGGTACAAACCTGCATAGAGAATCTGCTGGGCTGTGGTTTTCTTGGAGGTGTCAGGTTCAGATGAATCAAAACCACAAGGTCCCAATCTGCCTGTTCTTCAGGGAGATAGGGCTGGTTCAGTGAGCCAGTCCATGTGAGCTCTGCCCATATACTTGGGCACTTTAGACCAAGACCAAAGTCTTGGTACTTTATGGAAGGAAGTAACATCTCCAGAGGGCATTAATGGCATGGTGGTTAGCTTCTGGCAGATGAGTGGAAGGGGTGTACGATCCCCAAACTGAACAGAATCAAAGGTTTAAAGGACAAGGAGGGTGGGAAGGTGTAAGTAGAGCGATTGCTGCATGACTCGGTAGTTAAAAGTGGCAGGAGTCATTTCTATTCTTCTTGTATGAATAAGTCTGAGACCCATATTTCTGCAAAATCCTAAGAGGCAATCACCCTAGGAGTGTTTTTACTGCCTCATCTGGCCATACCCAGAAAGGCCTGCTCTGAATTTCTATATTGCAGCACTTTTGCACAGTGCTATTCTGTCTTCCTTTGATGTTCCTGCTGGTGGGAGAAAGATTGGTCTTAGTGGTGTGTTTTGAACATACTTCTTCCTGCCTGCTGCTTCTCCTTGCCTTTCTCTGTGGTCTGGATATGTGACTGACACAGGTGTTCAGAGTTGCAGCTTGCACTTTTCTGTATTTGCCCGCTGGAGGGGGGTGCTGGACTGCCATGGAATCTGCACACCAGATTTACGTCCAAGATCAGGCTGTGCCTCCTTCCTGCCTATTCTGCCTTTTCTCCCGTCTGGTCTGCCCAGTGACTGCCTTTTTCCT